CGGAGGTCTGGCCCTCATCTTCCTGATAGGCATGATTACTGCCTGCGTGGGGTGAGCATTTCTACCCTTATGTACCATGTCATATCTTTTTAAATATATCTTTTATAACAAGGCTCCAGCGAGGGCTAAGTCACCACATACAAATTTACTACTAGGAGCTTGGCTTGGCTTGGCTTAGCTGTGGGCCTTGTTTTAATCATGATTCTATTGTTTAACAGAATTTCTTATGTTTCATCATCATGTCATATGATACCAAACACAAGCATTCACTGTGATCTCATGCACCACATATACTTCAAGAAACTTGTCTATGAGCTGCAGTGAAACTTGAACAGATAAATTAGGATACTTGGTCGTTTTGAAGAAGATAAGAGCGTTTTAAAAAGGCACTTTTAACGATATTGAATGTCTCACTTGACTCTCTAAAAATCTCTCAACGCAGTAGTAAAGGATGAAAACCTCTGCTAGAGAGACTCCCTGCATCTTCCCAGCACACTTTAAAGCCCAAGTATCGGTTTCACACAAAGTCTTTAGAAGGGAAATTAATCTAAACTTGTCGAACAAAATCTAAATCTAGTAACGTTAAGGATAAATCCATCGTAATCGACTACAATAGGTGTATGCTGGCGTTAAATATTAGCCATTTTACTTCTACAAACACTTTTTTTACCAATAGGTCTGCCCGTAAAAAGTCCTCTTCCCCAGACTACGCCAAGACGCCTTTCCTGTATAATAACAGTTTCTATGGAAACAACACAGACGTCAGCATCCCCAGACCAAAATTTGGAGCGGAGATGATCGAGAATGGAGGAATTGTGGACGACAAATCCCAAGAGATACTAGCATTTGGGGACTTGTTTAAAATCGCATTTCTGAGATCTTTCTACATCTATCTATCTATCGATCTATCTGTCTATCTGTCTGTCTGTCTGTCTGTCTGCCTGCCTGCCTGTCCGTCAGTGGCCAGATGACGTAAATGTGTACTTAAAAATTCTCACAGGAGATGATGATTCACTGTTATTGAGCGTGTTTTAACAGCGGCATACGTCAAATAGTAAAGATTGGCATTGGCGACAGAGAAATCTTTGACAACGTCATGGAAAGCAAGGCCAAATTTAACAGGTGCCACTGTGAATTTGGTCTGTTACTTTTACAGCTTCGGCAGTTATCAAAATCAATAATTATGTGCAATCCGCAATCCAATCTATCATCTCAGCAAAGTAGAACTTGCACTGACACATACTCACTATCATTTATGATTAACTTGTTTCTAGTTTCTACCTTTTTAAATATTTATTGTGTTTTGCAATGGAACAGTTTAACTGGTTGGTTTAGTTTAAAAAAAAAAAGACTTTGCATCGAGGGCAGGACTCCTTTTAGGTAATCGTCTTATTTAAAAGCAAGGGTCTGAGATTATCTTAATAACCCAAAAGTTGTCAGGCCCTTTAAGATTTCTCACTCACCACACTAATGCCCACTATTTTTTCTATTCAAAAAATAGGTGCTAAAATAAATTTTGAATTCCTAAAAATTAGGGTTGGTCTCACTCTTCAACCAAGACATCAGTTTTGTCTCGCCTAATGACTTATTTATTTCGTCTTGAATGAAAACACATTTAATTTAGCAGAATGCAAGTTAGAATTAATCCCGGAAAATGAATTATTAGATGTAGGGAAAAACCGAAAATGTCAGTGATTATACACTTAATTTCCTTTTTGAATTGTTCGGGGAGGGTTTTGAAGTTTTCATCCTTTTTAACACATATTCTGAAATATGTATCAATTCTTAGAATATCTACTTACTTCTGATGGAATTAAAAGGGAAGTAATTTCCATTTATACAATCTAAACAATACGCCAAAAGCAATTTAGATGATGAGGTAAATGAGTACGTGACCAGAAAGTGTACAGAAATAAACGCATAATCCCCCGGTTAGAGACATACAGGTGATGATACGGGTGATGTATTGTTATCTCCATTAGCGACGCTAACAAGATGCATCTGGCATCCAAAAGTTTGTGGTCCCCGGGGAGATGGAGCTGTCACAGTTCCACCTAACATTTCAATCCGTCTAGTTTGTAGTTGCACGTGTATTATAATATTAAGGCAAGGAGAGCGGTTTTCAGAACAATGTCTTTTAAAGATGATACATGGTGGTGAGCGAATTATATTAGGCCTACCACTGCTGGTCTGTGTATGAATTGATTTGGAACAAAGTCTATAAAATTTACGAAATTCTTTTAGCAAAATGAATGGATGGCAGATAAATTGTTGATTTATTAATTTTGTACTTGACCGGATATATTGTTTTTGGGTGCTAAGACCCTACTTTTTAATTTCTTTACCTTTGGTGTGTGTAAAGCTTCGTATTCACATTTTTCAGGAGCAAAAAACTCTTAATCTTTCGATTAACTAAACCCGAATTATCTTTGCTTTACCTTTTTTAACTACAGTATGAAGAACTTGATGACCATAAACCTCAACCAACTGGTGAAAACCGCGGCGACAAATCTGATGATAGGGAGCAGCAAGAAAGGGCACGTGGCAGGGATGGGCCCGCTGAAAGCTCGGGGCATCGTGACAGTCGTAGTATATTTGATCAAGACTGGCGGGACGCCGTAGACGACAGGAACGGACAAGGGTACGGTAAAGGCGAGAGAAACGACGGTTATGGAAAGGAACCCTACGAGAGATATCCTGGAGATGGGAGACCCGCGCGTGGTGGACCCAGTGAGCGGGGTGATAGATATGCTAGGGATGATAGGGCCCCAAGAGATACCGGCTACGACGTGCCGAGAGGATATGGTAGAGATGGCGGGGAGCGAATTAGGGGCTACGGTTACGGGGACGCCCATCCTCCTCGTAACGACCGGCAGTTTTCTGTTCCTCGAGATCCCCGTGACCTTGACCCCCGACATGACCCTTACCACAACCCTCGCTCCAAGACCCCCTACGTCAACCCCGCATATAACCCGGACTCCACGGAGTGGCCCGACAAGTATTTCTAGTTAAGCTGGTTTGTTAGATAATGTTTGACGATAAGAATGCGAGAACTTAGAATGTAGAAAGTCGGATTGTTAGGTTAAAAACGAAGTATATTATTAACTGTTTTTTTTTTTTTTTTTTTTTTTTTTTTTTTTTTTTTTTTTTTTTGCAGGAGCACGCACTATCGAGAGATTTTGCACTGTTCTGCAAAGAAAATTAAACAGAAAATTAGTCTGATTCTTTTAATTTAAAGTAAAATTCTGGTCTATCTCGGCCAAGAATTAATTACGAGTAGCCCAGTTAAATGGAATTACGCCTGTTTTATAAAAAGAGAGAGTATTTATATTTTAAACTATTAGTAATTGAATGCTTTCATAGCACTACACATTATTCCCAAATTGAAGTACGCCATTGTCAAAAAGGCTATACATTCTTCATATAAAAATGTAGGCCTACCATGTCACACCTTTTCATAATCAGACGTTTTTGAATGTTATAAGCCATGATATCCGGACTTTTATTTAAACCACACTCAAGACATTTGTTAGTGAATAATCTATAATTAAAAAGACTATAATAAATATGAAAATACCATATTTGTTGAAAGTGTGATACGTCAGGACTATAGGCAGGAGCTCGGAGGATTCGAAAAAACCGTCCTTTCGGTTGGAAAAGATCCACTCTGAATTCAAATTTGATCTAAAAGAGTGTATGGAATTTCTCAGGCTGGGTCACTGATGGGTGTAATGGGTCCACTTTGGTTAAAAAAATAACCTCTCCTCCTTGACATCACTGGCTACAGGCCTGTGTCATAACTTATATTTCAACAAAACGATGGAATGTGAGTCAAGACAAGTGTATATATAAAGAGTGTTTTGTGAATCATTTAGCCTTTTAGTAAGTTCATATCCCAGAAGTTGCTCCGCTTTAATGATGTATTTTATTCATATGATGACGTAATTTATACATATGATGACGTAATTTATACATATGATGACGTATTATACCCATATACAGGTTGAGGATAGGCCTACATGGAATCCTTATATGAATTAATTTATGAACTAATTGATTAAGGAATTTTATTCGTTTAAGAATTAGATGAGTTGAATTAGTAAATTAACCGTCGTTATTATTTGAAGGATTGAAGATGGAATTCTTTTACAGAATATAATAAAGAAATTGAAATTGATAATTTATTTGCGACTTCAGGTATATTTACGAAATTTTGAAGTGGTGAGCTTATTTTTGCAATTTTGTATAAGTGTGTTTGTGTGCGTTTGCTGCCTCCATTGCCAATTCAGTATTAAATCTCTTTGTATATCACATTGAGCGGAGGCGATATTTACAATTTTTTGCCAATTATTTGATTATTTCTCTTAGCACGATTTGAACAGAGACAGGTCGCATTTCTGTGAAATTGACAATATTATATAAACACAATGCAGTGCTTGTATTATTAAACATATTGAAAGCAATACTTGTTTTTTTATGTGTCTTCCTTATCAGATGTATCAGTTTGTCTCCTTCGCCCCGGAGTATACGAAAAGGAATCATTGTCTTACTAGTATGTCGTACTAAGGGGGGGGGGGGGGAGTCGGCCACCTAGAGTTTGAATTCGCTGTTCCCGTGTGCCCCATACAAATGCAACCTTTCTACCCGAACCTGGAAACGGTTTCATGAAAGAATAGCGAGAGCTTGTTCATAAATCTGAAAGGAGAAACGTTGGTTTATTTTGGTCAAGGAGTTAAAACAGTGGCACAGGATATAACTGCGATAGTCCAACATATTACGATCAATTTGCAGAAAATATGCAATGATTTATGTTTAGACCAGAAATTGTGTTATTTCAGTGGAGAACTACTGATTTATCTTGGGTTTAAACATGCTTTCCCTCTCTACCTCAAACTTAGGACCAACTATCGGCTTTCGTCCCTTTGTGAAGCAGGCGGCCTCGTCAGATCTAATTACAAGTTGTCAGTAATTATTAACATATTATCGATGTTATCTGTGACGCGCCGGACGACATCGTATTAAAGATGGTGCAGTTCAGCAGTTCCACTTCACTGTCACTAGCGTTCGACGTTACTAAAGGCACGGTGGACAAGCACTTTTTGCTTTTCTAGTCTACGGACTTAAAGGCATTGAAAAAGCGTTGTGGAACAACCGGCATATCGATGAACGGAATCTCGGCCCAGTTTATTTCCCAACTAGTGAGGATCTCCATGAAGTTGCACTCTGGATTTTCAGTTTCTTCAGCGGCAGGTCGAGTACCTGTCTAGGTCCAACAGGTGAGTAGGACATTGGCCTAAGTATTTGGTAGAATGTTTTTAAAAAGTTTATTGTAGTAATTAACCAATAGTGTATACCAAAGCAGTTCATTATGCCGTTACTAGTACGTGTTTTTCAGGCTGAGAATCCTTTTGTGCTGAAATCCATCATTTTTTCCCAAACACATTTGAGTTATTTAAATTAATAAACCCCAATGCTGTCGTATGCTGTATATTGGGACAAGTAAGCAGATAAGATTTCTGTCTAGAACTTCCTTTTTGATTGTGGACACGCGAGACAGAAATGGACCCCGCAGGTTTCAAAAAATAAAAATGAAAAAATCGCATTCAGCACAATGGTACCTTCAAAGTAGGGGTTAATATTATAATCATAGTGTGATTAAAGATAAATTGGACTGTTTTTGTTGTTGTGTGTGTGTGTGTGTGTGTGTGTGTGTGTGTATGTGTGTGTGAGTGTGTGTGTCAAAAGGAAGAGGAAATTAAAGGTTAGGGAGAACAGTGCCGAGTGGGCCCTACCAAAATGAAAATCTATTATAAAAGGTTTTTAAACTGGCGGGGAATCTGAAAATTGCAGTGGTCCTAATGGGAGACGTATTTAAACGCCGTGTGTGTTTGTTTACATTTTTTTCTGAAAATATTTCACCACAGAAAGAGTCAATACATTGCGTATAGGATACAACCATTAAGTAGTCAGTCTGCCCTCAGATAAGATCACGTATTAACATCAATTCGTATTTTACAGAACCCAATGAAGCATGTATTTCGTAAAAATAATAAGAAAAAATAAAATAACACCCAAAAAAATTGTAATCCCATTGCTGTCAAAGATGTAGACATTGCACTTAACATACTACATAGTTGGTAGGACTACGTTTCTAAAACACGACTGCACGGCGTACAGGGGCAAGTAGGGCCTACTCTATATTAGAGTCCAACTGAATGATGTAATTAATTCCGAACTATAATTCTCGTCACAGTAAAGAAGTGTGTCCTGAATTAGCCAGAAAGATATCTGTGAATATCTAGAGAAAAATCAATCTGTGACCTTGGTGTAAATATCAGAATACATATCTCCTACTTGCCCGGGGACAGGAAGCTGGGAGGAGGGGTATAACTGTTGCTGGGGTAATTCATACATTCGCATAATTCACGCCGTGTCTAATTAAGGCTCATCTTTAATCTAACTTGTCAGAGATAAAATTAATGTTTCGTGTCACACACCAAGGCTCCAGGCAACGATATTTAGTATTGATATTTAGTAGGATAGGATAGGATATAAAAGAGGACAGGACTCGGTCAATATTATCGTTGTTACCATTAAATTGCACTTTCCCTTTAAAAAAACTTAAGTACCATTGTGATAGATGAGAAAACCAAGCTTCAGCGAGAAGACGTTCCACTTGTCACGAGATAATGGTCAGGGTTTGATCTATAGTGACATCACACATTTCATCATCACGATAACTTATAGCGATTTAGTGAACGAATACGCAGTTTTTTCTCATGTCAGAATTGTTTTGCGCGAAGAGAGAACCTATTCTTTATTACCAGCTACATGTATTTTTTCTCGTAAATGATCAACAAAAGCGCTCTCTGCCAAATTTTTTTTTTTTTTTTTTTTTTTGCGTTTTTGCGTACAAAATGATTGAACAATTAGAAAATCAATATCCTTTTTTATCATCATTAAACGGTTTTTGTCTCAGTTTTTAACTTTGATGCCCTTTACCTAATAATACAAACATTTTCAGCCAGAATGAAAGAACCGTGCATCCCTATGACGGTATTGCCTGCATCGTTGGTCCAGTGGGCCATCGTCCTGTCTGGGGTCTGTCTCAGCTCCAGTGACGTCATCATGACGCCAGCAGAAAATCAGCTATGGAGTACGTCACAAATTAACATAGGAGGACAAGATGTACCGATAACAAAATCTCCACATTCATGGTCACCGCCTGAACGATTACCAAAGCTACAAATGTCGTATTGGGAGGAATCGGAAATTGAAGTCGATGACAATGAAACATCTGTTACTAACATACCAAAGACAGCAGAAGTATACCAGTATGAAGGAAACTCACATCTTTCAGTAGGTAGGCGCGCTTGTAGAATAATGAAATGTTTTTTATCGTTACTATTTTTATTAATTATCTAGTATTTTTCCCATTTAAATTCTAAGATTTTTTTTAGCTGACGAATTCGTTGATAAGTGAAAAAGCCCAACTTCAAAATCACGTTGACATTAATTACTCAGAAAAAAATGATTGGCTGAATAACTTTTATTGCACGGTAGGGGTCGCTGCAGCAATTGCCGTGGGCGTGTCTTTCCCAGTGGGCGTGGTTCTTGGTGTCCTGGTCACAATCGTCTGCTGCAAATGGTAAGTGGTCTGTCAAGTATATTAAATACATATAACTGAGAGCATACGGAAAATAATATCAATTGTGCGTATGTAGCTGCATGTTGGGATGTTTGTTTTTAGAAAAGTTGCAAAATTCGTTTAAGCTTAGCATTAAGGCATAGATGACAAACTACAGGAGCGAAATCACGTCTTAGGGCGCATTCCCATAGATTTTAGATCGATCTATCCCTGTGGGGAGTCTCACTAGATTACTGTCAGATAATCCGGCTTAAATGTCCGTCCCGCCTACTACAAGCTGTAAGGGGGTAATTAACTTTCGTGCCCGCTCGGCTGACAGCTATTTAGCGTGAACCCCCAGGGAGTTAGGTCGATGTAGTTGGATCGATCTAATCTCTAGGAATGGGGTCTAAGTTACAAGTCATTTATTCATTCATTTCAAACAGTGTATCCAAAATGGTGTGTTCATTTAAGAACAGTGTCTCCAAAATTCATTTCCAAATACCACCATTATTATCCTTTCTAACTTTGGCTTTCGTGAAAAAAAAGATGTAGTCATTTTTTGTTATGGCATAAAAAGTCATACAATGCCTGAATAAGACCCCTTTTTCAATAAAAAAGCTCCTCCTTAAAATAGCATTTCATGTTTCAGCAAAAAGAGGGCGACACCTTCCACCCCCTGTAGACACATGAAGCGTCGGTCAACTTACGCAAGGACTGAAATACGTGGAATCCCACACATACTGGCGAGCACCGGCTCTTTAAGTCCTTCTCATCTGGGCCTCAGCGGAACTGGCAAGCATGAAGGGGATGTTTGCGGGCACCACGAATGTAGCCCTACGCGTTGCACGCACAGCTCGACTCTGAATCAAAACATGGCAAAACGCAATCAAAACGAAACTACGGATATAAATGTTGAAGTCGGGCGTGCCTCCAGTGACCCGGATTATCATCCGTATCTAGATCTTATTGGATCGCAGGTTGAAAAGAACACGATATTCTATGCTTACACCAACGTCGCCGAAACTGAAAGTGCGTGCGCCCACGTGCACGAATGTGACGAGGACGAATACGACACATGCGCGTATGAGATAATAGAGCCCAGCTCATTGCAGTGTGAATGCACTGATCATAACGAAGACTATAATGGAGCTCACCAGATGGCGCCACGCGAGACAGAAGGCATATTTAAGACAAAGATTCACTTTGAACTTTCCTGTTGATTCATAACCACTCAGTTACGAAAAATATCAAACCGTTTCCTTTTCATACCTTACACATTATCCAGATAAGAAAACGCTCAACAATTAATTAAAATAATTAATTAATTATGATGAGATTGGGACAACGGGATTTCTTCAACGTTGCTATATAAAAAAATGCGCTTTCATTTGAAATTAGAATAGAACTGCAATCCTGAGGGAAGTAAAGACTAAGCCTCAATGGGACATATTCATTACAAGGAATGGCTTTTTATACGAAAGTTGGGATTTGCTTTATGTGAAAACTTGACAACTTTTAGCATCACGAATCTTGTTGGATATCACTGTCTTTTATCAACGAACACAAAAATTACAACTGAATCAATCAATTCATCAATTAATCAGTTCCATAGGGTAACAAAACAGGAACGCTATCAACTGCCCGGATATATAAATGACCAAACTGATAGTTACGTTCGCACTGAAGCTGTCTAAAAATAATGAACGGCCATTTTAACAATGAGAGTGTGCAATATGTTTTGGTGCAATATCATATGATGCTTAACAACATAGTCATCGCCATATGCATTTGTCACTATATTACTGTTATTGTGGCCATTCAGAAAATAAGACTAGCAGAGGGCTTCAGTCCCACGGGAATTGATTCTAACACCAAGAAATGCTAATTTGTAATAATTTAAAAAGAGAAATAAAAATAATAAAAAAAAGAATCCACTTTAACCGGCTTTTAAACTAGAGCTGTGTTTTAGTTCTATGAACCTTTCTTGCAGTATGAGGATAATAAATCGCATTTTCCCTTTACGTTGTTTACCAAGTTTACGATGATGCTGACGGCGATACAACATATAGCCTGTCCATAAAAAATAAGTAATCTTTTAAGATATGATAGAAGTAAAAAAAGATAAGATAAAACTAAAATGTTTATTTTTTTATTTAACAAAAAGATCTATGAAATATACAATATCGAGAATCAATTACCCTGGGAAAGCGGAGTTGATTTAAAAAGCTTTTAAAAGTAGTGAAAATTAAATAATTACAAAATAAAAAAAAAAGACGAATGAATTTCTTTAAGAAATTGATTAAGTGTTTTGAAAATACGCAGAATCGAATGCTCGCACGGCTTGCTTGTTACAAAAAATACAACTTTTACTCTTAGAAAGAATTGGAAATCCTCAAACTGATTACGTCGGATTCTCATTGTTAAATATGACATGACTTCGAATGGCAACATGTAACCAGGATTGAATAACTGTAGTATAATTAGAATGTTATCATGTTGAATTCTGTACATGGACATATCACAGTTTCGTATATCTATATAAATGATAGCGCGGTGAAGATAAAAGTGGGCACATATGTTAAACCAGACTCATATCACCGATAACTATCTGCCGAGACCGCCTGCATATATCCAGATGAAGGATTTTTGTAACGTTGTATATATGCGATGAAATATGTAGTTCGAAACTGGGTATGAACTTCAAATCTTCCCTGGTGTTAAGCGACATAGCATCCACATTTTTTGCGGTGCCTAGAAGGAGAGAGAGCTCAAAACCCTGAAAAACATTCAATTCCAGTGATGACAGACGAAAATGATGTCGATGACAAGTGTTATCGCAACTATCGTGTGCCTGATTGCACATCAACGGGATTTCACAGATGGAGGTAGTGAACTTTATGCAGTTTAAGTCGACGCACACTCAAAGTTACAGGCTCAGCTACCGTCCTTGACTGGTTTTTGAGGTTCTTTTTTCCTCAGCTGGATTTAAAAGCTATGTTTCATCGTGATTTGCGTGTCATGAGCTGAAATTATTAAACAAAAATAAAAAAGCAGAACAATGACGACAGCTAAGCTCGCAGCTCTCAGTGTGCGTCTGTCCTTTGGTGCGTCTACCCTAACATTTTGACTTATTTGGACTTATCTTTTGACTTATCTGGTTAATTAGTTTTCTACAATGTCTTAGTGATATGACGCGTAATATCAACACTATTTGCATCCACATTTATACACGTTTTTCTCTAATCAATGTTCATAATTTTCATGGTCTGTGGTGTTGCCTGTTTATTTTATATCCGATATCGGTACCAAAATGCCTTGAATCCACTGTAGATTGTCGACTTCCCGATGTGCCGCACTCAAAAGCAAAGACAAGCGGTGAAAATAAAGTTGTGAAAGCGTCAGAGATTGTCCAGTCGTTCACTGTCGTTCAAATCTCGTGTGAACTGCCATTTATGATGGTGTATGGGAATTCAACGTTGACATGTCTTGACAATGAAGAGTGGATGGGGTCTGTACCTGTCTGTGGCAGTAAGAGTTGCTTCTCTCTCTCTCTCTCTCTCTCTCTCTCTCTCAAACAATTAATTATTCTGAAGGTAGCACACGCGCAGAAGTTCTTTTGATTACTTTAATCTTCCCTTAATTCTTTCTGTCTTTTTCTGTGCTAACTTAATTAATAAGTGTCGAATATCATCCAATTCTTAGTTCCAGAGAACGTCTTACAAGTCCGCACAGACCATCTCTATACCAACGCGTACAGGCACATTAATGTCAGTCACGTGAAGCAGTGCGTGGATGCTTGCACAGCAGAAGACAAATGCGTGTCGGTCACGTGGTCTGTAGGAACGGGTACTTGCTATATGGACAACAGCATGTCAAACTGCGAAGAGGGTTTTGGCTTAAGTGGAGGATTCCAGTATTTTTTTCATCATTGCTCAGGTAGTAGAAAAAAACAACATTTATTCCAGTAGGTCACTGGGGATAACACATAAATAGATAAACAAAGGTGCGCACGGTCAATTTAGGTGTATTATCACAGGGCAACCATCAGGCGTTTGTAAAATGGTACGTGTAGAAGTCCGTCGTTTATCTACGTGTGCCCTAGGATCCAAAATAATAGATCCTAGAGCTAAATAGTTGTACTTGAATATGCGGATAATATAACCCTTCTCTTCTGTAATATATTTCTTTATTTATCTTTGTATAATATATATATATATATATATATATATATATATATATATATATATATATATATATATATATATATATATATATATATATATATATATAATAATAATAAAATGTAAAATTAGTATGTATCAATACAAAGTCCTCAAAATCTAATAGTAAGGCATTTTATTGCTTAGTAATTTTAATATCATTATAGAACTATTCTATGCCAAAGAAACATACCCAGACTTCGCCAGGACATGAAGATGGTTGCCACGTAGAACCTTGTGTGTTTTTGCGCGCGTGTTTGTGCGTGCGTGTTGGGGTTGTGTATTTTTGTTCTTTTTTCACTTCAGTTCATTGACAACATGTCTTGTCAAATTAATAATAAAATATCACCTGTTGGTCTGTCCCAGGTAGTTCATGCAGCTCTCCCTGTGACGATGGTGCCTGTATAGATCGTACCACATGCGGATGTTATAAAGGTCGCTGTGGGAAAACCTGCGCAAATGGTAGGCCTACGTGGAGTCAAAGCCTAGACGTATAGTCGGCAAATAGTAAAATAGAGGGATATTTGTTGTCGTTTTAAACTACATGTGTAAGATCCAAGATAACTTGGATCGTGGTTAAAACGAATTCTGAACCAGTATTTCAATTTGATTAAGCTGGTTAGTTCCGCCAGTATACACGATAAGGTGATATATGATGTCCACACACCCTTTTTTTTTTTTTTTACAAATGACACAGTAGAAGTTTTGAAAAAAAAATTAAAAATTTCATTGTTAGTTATATTGACTTACATAATACAAATGACCTTCAACCTTTTTTCACGTATGTAGAAACAACATGTGACGTTTCACCGGTCAACACTGTGGACAATTCCACCAGTGTTGTTAGATACGGAGAAAAGGTCAGTTATCGATGTCACAGTGGGTTTGCCACAGCTGGGAAGAGCTCGGGAACAGCGACGTGTATGGTCAACGGTTTCCTGGACCATCCAATTCACTGTGAGTATCCAGACGTCTCATCAATATGTTTCACAACCAAATCATTGTTAAGCTCTTTGTTATGATGAGGCATGGGCATATCAAATTATGTTGTGGGTATTGTAGTATAAGTACTGCCTGTAATCAAGGAGTTATAACAGATATCTGTTATAACTCCTTGCTGTAATACATGTACTACATCTACTACTACTTCTTCTACTACTAGGCCTACTACTACTAATTGATCAGGAAGCAATTATAAAAAATAATTTATACCCTAATCGAACATTTTAAAATTTTTTCTATAAACCGCTTCTGTAATGGTGAAAATCCTAATATATATTTTATAAGGCAAACAAGTCACGTGCCAGTTTCCCGAAATAGATGAAAATATGGTTATGTCGTCAAAGAGAGGCACTTTTTACGTCGACAATTCAGTTTTCGTCTTTTGCAAGACAGGGTTTCGATTTCCGAACTCTACCAAAATCAGCAGTTTTACATGCAGAGAAGACGGTCGTTTTCATCCAAAGCTTCAGAGATGCGAGCGAATCCAATGCCCAGTTCCAGACGAAGATACCAACCTGTTAGCCTTAAGCACACCTCCGTATGTTTATCTAGATTATGTGGAATTTCGTTGCGAAGACGGTTACGCCGTCCCTGGGAGGGATGACGGCACACTGGGCGCGGTCTGTGCTGGGTCAGGCGTCTTCGATTTTGGTGGGATGGATTTTGGAAACGGTTCGACAAATATCCCAGTCTGCACTCCTAAACTGTGTCCAAATATGAGACTTCCACCTGGAATTAAACTTCTAGGCCAACGACACATCTCGACAGGAAGTAGTCCCATAATTGGTATAACATGTAGACCTGGATTTATCTTTGAAAATGGGAACGATTCTGTCTCCATTCCGTGCCGAAAAAATGTGACCTTCGGATATGACTTTCCAAACTGCGTTAGACGCGCATGCACAATAGCAAATAACGCCCACATGGACTACGATCTCGATGACAATAGAAATATGCACCAACCTATTTATTTTGAAGATACAGTTAAGATGAAATGCAAACAAGGCTATAAGTTCTTGGATGGTGCCACATCTCGTGTTGTAACGTGTGGAGAGAGTGGTGACTTTCATCCGATATGTGCAGGCGTGCGATGTAAGCTGCCAAAAGTAAACAATGGAGTGCTAGTCGCACCAACTTCTGAGAACTATGAATACGGAGACGTAGTCACCTTCACCTGCGAGTCCGGCAAGACGATTAAGTTTGTTGCTGCCAATGGTGTCGTGGGGTACAGTGAAAACAACTCTATTTCAGACCGGTGCACAATGCATGGAGAGTTCGGGATTCTAACAGTTAGCTGTTCCTCAGGTAAGAATCAACTAAGGCTTGATTTCTGCGAACCAGCTCAAGACGCATCCTATGTATATATCTCCATGTAACCGTCTCGAGTTATGTGCTACCTTATTCTTTTAGCTCAATTTTCCGTTTCTTGGGGAGAGAGAGAGAATAGTCAAAATTTCTCCAGATCTTGTAGTAGACATTCACCTTAAAAAGTAAGATAGTCATTACTACGTTTGAAAAGACCAATGGCGTACTTGTTAAGCCTAATGACATTCACTTGTCTTTTTGTGGCTATATGTGTAAATGGTTACATTTTAATTTCACACAGGGCCAAGTGCAGAAAAGCAAGCAATAGAGGCATCAGCAAATTCAGGTAGGACTCGTGCACATAGTACCTTTACCTAGCTTTGTTCTGATAGTATTTTTAAATCACGGAAAGCATTGCCTGGTATAAAGTCGTTAGTCATGCAACGAAAGATATGGGAACAGTCTCCCATTGAGGGATTTTATCCACAGCAACTGTGGGAATAAATTACTTACAAGAGAAACATCTAGCGAAAAAAAATCCCTTATGGTACGCAGCATTTGTATGTTATAAGTCAAATGCATTATAAATCACAGGTTGTCAAAAAGCTTTTCAACCGCCTTTTGTTTACATAGAAGTATTCATGGCGTATTTGAAATCACTGATTCAACACGTTTATCACTTTAATTAAAGTTATAAAGAGAAGATATATCTTGGGAAGAGAATGCCTTGTGCTGATATTGTTCCATTTTCTCTTTTTTTTTTTTTTTGTTTTTGCAAGTTGTTTCAACGTTTTTGCGTGTCCATTTATGTTTATTTTATAAATTCTGACCAGTTAATTGGAAAACAAGTTATGATTAATATTTATAGGTGATGTCGGTCCGATGGTTGGTGGTTTGACAGCTGCTGTTCTTGTTATTGCCTTCGTCGTTGGTATAGCACTTTATGTAAGGCATCTCAGGTAACGGTTCGCTTCTATTATCATTTAAAGTAAATTTAGATTAAAATATATGATTCAACTTAAAAATCGTACTCCTTTGTAATGCTACGGCTTATCAAACTTCTTTTTCGTCTAGCATTGCTAGAAAAAGCAACACATCAAAAATACTTTCTATTTTCAGGAAAAGTTCTGTGGGCGATCTGGCGTTTGCCTCTATGGACTCCAATCGCTCTGATGATCAGTCGAGGAAGAATCCTGATATGTACGTATACGTAGAAAACGACTTCACTAGGATCGCTAGATGGCAAATTCACGACCAAGAATCCAAACCCCAAAAAACTGAGCAACGATCCCAAACAGGACATAAGAATGGTCCGACAGAGGGCAGCACCACAAATGCACGCGGCATCAAACAAGATACGGTCGATCTGTCGGATGATGTAATATTGGTAGAAAATGAACTCTATAAGTCAGATCTAGAGGCAGACGACAAAGAAAGGACCAATGAGAGCGAGTATTATAGTGAAGCCCGTTACTCTACAGTTGGCGAGAGCGAAGTCGTAGAGAATACGACATATGATAGCGTTGTTCTTCTAGTGGACAATGAAATATACGAATCTGGCGATGACGTGGGGCAGTGAGCGGCTCGCTTGATGGCCAGCTGGTTACCAATGGGATGTACTGTCAGGTCATTTGTTTGACGTCAGAGTGCGCACCTTCAATAGAAGAAAACGGCTCACGTGCACTATTCTCTTATAAATTCCGTGAATAGGAAAAAAAAATGCTAAATTTTTGTATACAGGTGCTTTTGGTCTCTACATCTTTAGTTCATATTTACAGCATATATTCGAGGCACATCGCAGGCTGCTCAAATGATTCTGACATAAGGCAATTTGGATATGAAACAGGCACATTTATACTCACAGACGCAACTTTTATTCACAGTAAACTAGTGCATCCATCGATAATTAGGCCTATATCTTAAACCGAAACATGGCGAACTTGGACTGTCAGGAGGAGTCGTCTAACACAAATCACGTGTTTTTATCATTTGCTTGTGCATATGCACTTTAGTTATTACACGGACGCAAAAACCGACTTAACATACTGGAAACTAAATATAGCAAAGCTGGCAAATATACAGACAACAAACTGAAAAACATAGCAACAATATGCACAGACAAGGCAGCAAAGCTTCTAGATGGACAGATATGTTAGTATATATTGGAAATGTTACGAATAAAAATGGTCATTTAATCGTTGTTGTCGATGTTTGATTGTACATTATCTTCTTTGGAGTTCTTACAAAGCCAAAAGTCCATATACTTATTTCACAGATCCCCTGTTTTCTATTGTCCAAATATTATTTAGAACTTATGGTGGATAAAAAAAACTTTTTCACAAATTTGTCAGCGCCTGGTGGCACTTCTGCTACGATAACGATGTTAGTGACCAGAAATTTAGAAAAAAAAAACGTCTTGTTCGGTCCGTAACTGTTTCCACCGATTACTTTCATTATTGGTATAAAAGACCTTGAGTTTTTGTTGCTGAAATTTAGACGAAGCATCGCACCAAAATATTCTTTACTTTGTGAAGGAGATTGTGTTTTTGGCTCCGTTTGTCCGTCTATCTGTTTGTCTGTTAGCAACAATTTGGTAATTTGTTGTTGTTCGTCGACGCAACTATGCGAGTGCGTGAGACGTCATACATGTAGGCCTACGTATGTTTCTACTAACAACGTAAACAACAACAATCTACACGCAGTTTGGTAACGTATGTATCGATACATACGTTACCGATACATACGATACCAAATTGCGAGTAGATTGTTGTTGTTTACGTTGTTTGTTGTCCGTCGGCGCAACTATCTGTATGTGAGTGCATGCGGCGTCATGCCTGCGCGCACGTACGTTTCTTCAATGCACATAAAACTTTGTTACATCGTCATACCGAGTTTGATAACCATCGATACATACATTACCCATGATTTTATTAACTGTTAGCTCTTTCAACTTCTGTTGAGTCAACACCTATTTTTTTTACTGTATATTAGGTTATTTCACATTGTTCACGAAATTAGGTGTTGGCTCAACAGAAGTTGAAAGCAGCTAACGGTTATTAAAAACAGGTAACGTATGTATCGATGGATATCAGACTTGGTATGACAATGTAACGAAAGGGAATGTGCATCGCAGAAACATACGTGCCCGCATGCATGACGCCGCATGCACTCACATTGTTGAGCCGACAGACAACAAACAACGTTAACAACAACAACAACAATAATAACAATCTGCATGCAATTTGGTAGCGTATGTATCGGTAACGTATGTATAATATGAATAATGTCTTCAAATCGTTTAAAGACAACTTCCCTCTTTTGTCCCGTTTCAATTTTATTGTAACGTAATGTGCAGTAAAACGTTGGGTGTTGGCTCACCAGAAGTTTGAGGCAGCTAACAGTTATTAAAAACATAGGTAACGTATGTATCGATGGATATAAAACTCGGTATGACGATGTAACAGTGTGTAATGTGCTGCATTTATTTTAGAAACATGCGTACTCGCATGTATGACGTCTCATGCATTCATATACAGGTAGTTGCGCCGACGGATAACTAACAACGTAAACAACAACAATCTACACGCAATTTGGTAACGTCTGTATCGATACATACGTTACCAAAAAGCGCGTAGATTGTTGTTGTTGTTGTTTACATATGAATCTGTTGTTGTTTGTTGTCCGTCGACGCAACTATGTCGACGCAACTATGTGAGTGCGAGACGTCATACATGCGCGCACGTATGTATCTACACTGCACATTACACTTTGTTCCATTGTCATACCGAGTCGGATAACCATCGATACATACATTACCTCATCCCCTTAAAAAAAGAAGCAGTAAGTTTGTAAAAATACTATAGAAAGTATAACTCAAATAAAATAAAGCTTTAACCATTTATATCTGATAGACATGCAGATAGATTGTTTACACAGAAAGCTTTCAAGGTGTTACCTGGAAGTTAAATAAAAATGCAGTGCATCTCCCTTTCAAGTTATTGTCAATATTAAGTTTAACACATTCATAAATGTTCTTTACAGTTATATTGTCATACAAAATTGTACGCCTTACTAAAATCTTTAATATATCCATACAAATCAAAAGTTTGTAAGTTTAAAGTCACAATTCATGATGGATATTCAGGTCTTCAAGATAATGCTGTAGAAATGCAGTTAAAATTTCAGATAATTCAACGTAAAGTCTGTCTTAAATTCTCCATAACAGTGAGCCATTTTCCTCCTCCACGATTAAGTGAACTTTTCAGTTGCTAAAGAACTGATCACAAACTTTGCTGTTTCGACTTTGACTTATCACTGTAGACTATAATGCATCCCCAATGAGAAGAACACAAAGTGGTCAGCAAAATTTAAACATTCATTTCCATAAATCAAAATGTACATTTAACTTGGGTTCACAGGTCGTGAGCCGCTGTCATTTAGCTGGCGTGTGAGTTGCAGTATTTTCTTGCCTAAGTTTGCATTGTGTTGTTTTAAATATTTGATCATGTCTGCCTGCTTCTCCAGTACTTCATCCAAGTAATCTTCCTCCCTAGCAATAAATGAATAAATGAATATTAAAATAAATATTTAAAATTGGGAGATTTCAACACAACTCAAAATTGTTATATGAAGTTGGTGAACTGATCTTTCTGAGTTCATCAACATTATGGATTACATGAGAAAGTACAACTAATGAGAGCTTCTGTTCATTTTCATGTCATTATTTATCTCAACATATGCCAATTTTTTTATCATGGGTCAATAAAAGAGTATAGCAGGTTGGGCACCGTGCCCTGCGAGCTATTTTACGGGGGCACCAATGTGAGGTTTAGCCAGCAATGAGAGCAAAAAAGAAGCAATCTGTGTCGGAAAAGTATGGTCTAATTAAAAATGTTGACCTAATTGACTTGTACCCTTGAGGTGATTCCATGGCAAATTTATCTAAATGTATGTCAGCTATTTATACAGTAATACAATTTTTGAATCCGTGTCTGATGCATTAACCATTTCTGTAGACAAGGTCCCTGACCAATAATCCAGAGAAACCATGGACTTGTCCTTGAAACAATGATTATTTCTTTGATTTCCATTGAATTGTTATTGTTTTCTTACCTGAAACCCGTGTCAGAGTGAGAGTGAAGATATGAGGACATGTCTTCTCTTTGGACATCAGGTGGAGCCCTCTGGCGATTAAAACGGACTGTATGAACTGAAAAAATATTTTGGAGCTGTGCATTAAATCAGTCTTCATCAAGTATTGTCACATATCACACGATCTTTAAACATGGTATCTATCAGTGCCCAAAAATGAATTTGATGAGATCTTGGTTTTCAGCACTAGGGTTCTGGAAGCTTCTGGCCCAAAAGTTAAATACATGTAAGAAAAAACAAAATTAAAATAAAGTTTAAAACATGGATGTGCAAATAATACTTTTCCATTGCTTTATCAGTCACCTGGGCAACCACAGCCAGGCATGTGCTTTGAACCACTGGTAGATCTCAACTGCCTAGATTATGAAATTAAAGTTTTGTACTTTTAAACATGAAATGACACTTGCAATGCTGCACTTCTTTCTCATATCTATTATTTCAAAATCTATTTTTTTAAATAATAGATTTAAAATATCTTAGCTGGAGGCTAAGATAAATAAATAAATAAATAAATAAATAAATAAATAAATAAAGCTGCAGACTCTCCTCACCTATATGTACTATAATACAGGGCAACATAACAGCCACTTCTATGGACACAGCTATCTGCAGGAAGTTTGTTCGAGTGAGATGAAGACTGGAGCATGCTGTGTCAGAGTGGCAGTAGTCTTGTAGTAGCATCACTAACACAGTCAACATTGCATGAGCTGAAAGTTCAAAAATGTCCTTTCAAGATATTTATGTAATCTCGCTAAAATTGGCTAGCCGAATATATCAGCCTTTAAAAGATCATCACTATCATATTTTTGAAAAATGATTTTATCTTTTTATATTTACACTATGCTGACTATTTCTTTTTTATGTTAATTCAAATTTTTGTATATGTTTTACAGCATTATCAATTTTTCGGCTTTTCAATGCATACTATGTTTTTACATAATCATAAACTGCCTGATTAAAATGATTTCGTTTGATTCACTGTTTCATTTGTTCTTTATCAAAAGTATGATATCCTACCTCCAGAACTAATAAGTAGTGGTGCCCTTCTTATGTTCCTCGTTTTCCTGTAGAATTCTAAATACCCCCTGTAGCGGTTCACATTATGGTGATGTCTTTTGTATCTGAATAAGGATTTAAGTGTCTGGTAGCATTCTTTATGGTGTATATCTCCTACATCTGGTAATCATATATATATATATATATATATATACACATAAAATATCTGGACTCACACTCACTTGGCTTTCACCAATTTGCTAACATGTTCAACTGAATAATGTTTTCTTCGATAAGAGTATATATATATATATATATATATATATATATATATCAAGATAAGTTGCATGGAATTTATGATGTTTTTCCAGTTTGATATGTGAATGTAATTCCAATATGTGTCATTACACTACTCACTGAGTAGTATATTATACATCGGACCCGAGTAGTGTTCATTAATGCTCTGAGTAAAAGACCTGTGAACTATATATTCCCTTGGGCCAAAAAGTTATACACACAGATATTTATAATAACAGTGTATGACACAAGAAAACAGTTAACATCTGTATGATATTGTCTTATCTGTCAAATAAGAAAAAAAATCATTTTCTGATATATTTCCTTGTCTGTCATACTTAAAATATTCCGTCTTACCTGTCAAATAGTAGAAACACGAACCAGGTACAGGCATGAGTATATATAGTGATGGCGTACGATGACAGTCCACAGACTGGGGGGTCATCCTTGCCGTCCCCTGGGGGACAGTACAGGGGAACCACAAATGTAATCACCTCAATGCCAACCTGAAGTCAAAACATCAGTTTTAAAGGTAAAGAGAAAAAGCATGCCATTGAAAGGTTAAATAGTTCAAAATGCTGCATAATCAGTTTGCTGTTATGATCATTAAATATGGTACCTTACAGTGTACTTCTTTCTCCATACCAGTATCCCATCTACCTCTGCCCCCTCTTTCTCTCTGTATCTCTCTCTTCCATCTCTCCCACCCTCCTCTCTTTCCTTCCATTTCTCTCTCCCACCCTCCCTCCCTCTTTTCTCTCCTTTCATCTCTCTCTCTCTCACTTCCTCATTTTCTTTCTCTCCCCTCCCTTCTCCCTTACTCTCTCTCTCTTTCTCTTCCTCTCTCTCTCTCTCTCTCTCTCTCTCTCTCTCTCTCTCTCCATCTCTTTTCCCAGCCCCTCTCTTTCTCTCATTGAGTTCTTATACAACAGCAAAGGTCCCAGGTCTCCAGATAACTCACCATAATCAGCAGTTCCAAGGCCAGTGCCCACGTGATAGGAATCTTGTAAAATGGGGGAGTGTAGTCAGCAGAGAGAACCACAGAGTCTAACAAAGGATCGTCAGAATCATAGTTGATTGAATTTTCCCTATCAAAGAAAACTCCCTGAAATTAATGGAAATATAATTCAATGAAGTGACATTTACCTTTACATCTTTATAAAAGAGGACGGAATGTAAGAATAATAACTGTAAAATATTAGTACTTAAAGGCATAGGTCTATAAAATGAATTATAAAAAAGGCCTATATACATGCTTCAAAAATATAAAATATCACCTGCAAGTGCATGTACATGTACCGTACATGAACAGGTAAATACGCACACCAATAACAACAAAGTGGTCAGATCATAAATTAAATAATACAATATATTTCTGATATTTATCTTGCCTTTATCACAAGTTACAATGATGAATAAATTAACGGTAAAATAACATTTGATCCACGTTAGCTGAAGCATTGTGATTGTTCATCCACTTCCTCTGCACAAGACGAGGAAGCCACCTAGAATTCTATCAAAATCAACGATTTCCAGCCTCAAGTTTTGGAGCAAACTAGCAACATGAATGACACCTAACATTGTAAGTGAAATACTCACTCCCTGCCTTCTCTGATCCCCTAAGCTAACCATGTTTTAAAATTAAATTACAGACATCTAGTGCTCGAGTTTGTGCGACCTTGACCTTGACTATGTTGGAAACTTCAATCTCCATTGCAAAAGAACCAAGAAAAGATAGCCTTCGACTTAATTTTGCTAATTTAACATGTATCATGGTATAAGGTGGTTTAGTTTTATTTAAAGTTAGGTCATTCACCAAAGCTTTATTTATAATGTTACTTCAAAGAGACATACATTTTAATGAACTTACTTTTTACTTAGGTTGCAATGCCGATTCAAGTAGCTAACACATTCATAAGAAAAATTTANTTTATAGAGAAAAATATCATGATTGGCTCAAAAAATTGTACGCACAGTGCATCCGTGCGTATGCCTAGTTACGCCCATGTTAAATACATGTAAGAAAAAACAAAATTAAAATAAAGTTTAAAACATGGATGTGCAAATAATACTTTTCCATTGCTTTATCAGTCACCTGGGCAACCACAGCCAGGCATGTGCTTTGAACCACTGGTAGATCTCAACTGCCTAGATTATGAAATTAAAGTTTTGTACTTTTAAACATGAAATGACACTTGCAATGCTGCACTTCTTTCTCATATCTATTATTTCAAAATCTATTTTTTTAAATAATAGATTTAAAATATCTTAGCTGGAGGCTAAGATAAATAAATAAATAAATAAATAAATAAATAAAACTGCAGACTCTCCTCACCTATATGTACTATAATACAGGGCAACATAACAGCCACTTCTATGGACACAGCTATCTGCAGGAAGTTTGTTCGAGTGAGATGAAGACTGGAGCATGCTGTGTCAGAGTGGCAGTAGTCTTGTAGTAGCATCACTAACACAGTCAACATTGCATGAGCTGAAAGTTCAAAAATGTCCTTTCAAGATATTTATGTAATCTCGCTAAAATTGGCTAGCCGAATATATCAGCCTTTAAAAGATCATCACTATCATATTTTTGAAAAATGATTTTATCTTTTTATATTTACACTATGCTGACTATTTCTTTTTTATGTTAATTCAAATTTTTGTATATGTTTTACAGCATTATCAATTTTTCAGCTTTTCAATGCATACTATGTTTTTACATAATCATAAACTGCCTGATTAAAATGATTTCGTTTGATTCACTTTTTCATTTGTTTTTTATCAAAAGTATGATATCCTACCTCCAGAACTAATAAGTAGTGGTGCCCTTCTTATGTTCCTCGTTTTCCTGTAGAATTCTAAATACCCCCTGTAGCGGTTCACATTATGGTGATGTCTTTTGTATCTGAATAAGGATTTAAGTGTCTGGTAGCATTCTTTATGGTGTATATCTCCTACATCTGGTAATCAAATATATATATATATATATATATATATATATATATATATATATATATATATATAAAATATCTGGACTCACACTCACTTGGCTTTCACCAATTTGCAAACATGTTCAACTGAATAATGTTTTCTTCGATAAGAGTATATATATATATATATCAAGATAAGTTGCATGGAATTTATGATGTTTTTCCAGTTTGATATGTGAATGTTATTCCAATATGTGTCATTACACTACTCACTGAGTAGTATATTATACATCGGACCCGAGTAGTGTTCATTAATGCTCTGAGTAAAAGACCTGTGAACTATATATTCCCTTGGGCCAAAAAGTTATACACACAGATATTTATAATAACAGTGTATGACACAAGAAAACAGTTAACATCTGTATGATATTGTCTTATCTGTCAAATAAGAAAAAAAATCATTTTCTGATATATTTCCTTGTCTGTCATACTTAAAATATTCCGTCTTACCTGTCAAATAGTAGAAACACGAACCAGGTACAGGCATGAGTATATATAGTGATGGCGTACGATGACAGTCCACAGACTGGGGGGTCATCCTTGCCGTCCCCTGGGGGACAGTACAGGGGAACCACAAATGTAATCACCTCAATGCCAACCTGAAGTCAAAACATCAATTTTAAAGGTAAAGAGAAAAAGCATGCCATTGAAAGGTTAAGTAGTTCAAGGTTGATCAAAATGCTGCATAATCAGTTTGCTGTTATGTTCATTAAATATGGTACTCTTACAGTGTACTTCTTTCTCCATACCTGCAGTATCCCATCTACCTCTGCCCTCTCTTTCTCTCTGTATCTCTCTTCCATCTCTCCCTCCCTCCTCTCTTTCCTTCCATTTCTCTCCCCTTCCCTCCCCACCTCTCTCTCTCCCACCCTGCCTCCCTCTTTTCTCTCCTTTAATCTCTCTCTCTCTCTCTCTTCCTCATTTTCTCTCTCTCCCCTCCCCCCCTCTCTCTCTTTCTTTCTCTCCCTCCCTCTCTCCCCTCTCTTCCTCTCTCCATCTCACCTTCTCCTCCTCTCTTTCTCTCAATGAGTTCTTTCACAACTTCAAGGGTCCCAGGTCTCCAGATAACTCACCATAATCAGCAGTTCCAAGGCCAGTGCCCATGTGATAGGAATCTTATAAAACGGGGGAGTGTAGTCAGCAGAGAGAACCACAGAGTCTAACAAAGGATCGTCAGAATCATAGTTGATTGAATTTTCCCTATCAAAGAAAACTCCCTGAAATTAATGGAAATATATAATTCAATGAAGTGACATTTACCTTTACATCTTTATAAAAGAGGGCGGAATGTAAGAATAATAACTGTAAAATATTAGTACTTAAAGGCATAGGTCTATAAAATGAATTATAAAAAAGGACTACATGCTTCAAAAATATAAAATATCACCTGCAAGTGCATGTATACATGAACAGGTAAATACTAGTACGCACACCAATAACAACAAAGTGGTCAGATCATAAATTAAATAATACAATATATTTCTGATATTTATCTTGCCTTTATCACAAGTGACAATGATGAATAAATTAACGGTAAAATAACATTTGATCCACGTTAGCTAAAGCATTGTGATTGTTCATCCACTTCCTCTGCACAAGACGAGGAAGTCCACCTAGAGTTCTATCAAAATCAACGATTTCCAGCCTCAAGTTTTGGAGCAAACTAGCAACATGAATGACACCTAACATTGTAAGTGGAATACTCACTCCCTGCCTTCTCTGATCCCCTAAGCTAACCATGTTTTAAAATTAAATTACAGACATCTATTGCTCGAGTTTGTGCGACCTTGACCTTGACTATGTTGGAAACTTCAATCTCCATTGCAAAAGAACCAAGAAAAGATAGCCTTCGACTTAATTTTGCTAATTCAACATGTATCATGGTATAAGGTGGTTTAGTTTTATTTAACGTTAGGTCATTCACCAAAGCTTTATTTATAATGTTACTTCAACGAGACATACATTTTAATGAACTTACTTTTTACTTAGGTTGCAATGCCGATTCAAGTAGCTAACACATTCATAAGAAAAATTCAGTCCGTTTTTGGTGAGCTGCAGCTTTGTTAGAGCACCAGGGCTTTTTAAGACTTTTAAGACAAATGGACGAAATTGAATTCGAAACTGTAATAGCATAAACTATTTAGACTAGAATACTGAAATACATAGGCTATAGGGGCCTATTTAAAAATATAAATAAATACAAATAAGTAGGTCTAAATGAAAATAGGCCTATATATATGCCCCTATGTAGACAGTGCCGGATTAACGGGGGAAGGGGGGAGAGGGTCAGGGGATCCTGACCCTCCCCCCCTTTGATTTCATTAACATGTCGGTCACAATGTGTTTCATGATTACCAAATAATGCATTCATCAAAGTAAGGCTTTAGGTCAGACAAAAGTTGTTAGTTTGTTAACGATCCAACCTCATTTGCCATTTTTAGGAAACAAGATTGTTTAGGGATCAATGCAAAAGAAAAATGCATTTGGCATTTGTTTGGTAGGCGGAAGAATTTGCAAAAGATTCGCTGTTTAAACTCTCTCAAATCACCCACAGTGTGGATTTTACATTTCTCCCCCACCCCAGAAAAAATAAAAACAAATAAATAATCCAACATCTAGGCCCTACAACTGCCATATATATTGTAGACCAACTTATTAATTTTGTCTGGCCTTAATAATTGATTCATGATAATTGATTTAGAATTACTCTGAGATATGGCAAAGAATTCGAAAATAAGATGGAAACTTCTCAAGACTGAGACAAAATTGATCACTGAAAAAAAAACTGAGCCTATATACGTCTATTATTTTCAACACAAGTGAAGTGTAAAGAACAAAGAAAAGGAACTAGAAGTAAATGTTTTTTACTTATATATAGAAACAACCAACCATTGTTGCGAAAACTGAATGACGCTTTGTGATTTTGTGAAAGAAAAACAATTTACGCTCAGGATAAATTTGTATCTATCCATCAATTTCATTTATAGATCATGATTACCTAAAGTAGTAAAAATATACAACGTGTTAGTGTGTGCGTGTGTATAAGAGAGAGAGAAGCAGCTTAAATTCCAGGAGCAGCACTGTCCTTAAAATAAAAATTGAACTAGGAACTAATTGTACTCTAAAATCACGAATAAACAGTTTTCTGTATCTTTAATATGCTTTACGGAAAAACAGGAATATGAGGGGTCTAGATCTAATAAAATTGCATCAATCATTTTTAAAATCTGTTTATGACAAGGAGGTGGGTTGAACGTCAGCAATAAAAGTATAGTAATGCATTTTATAATGATATAATGCAAATAAAGCGAAACTTAAAAAAAAATCTTTCAATACACTGAGACACTCCTACAAAATTCAGCCCGTTAACATTTCAACCCAGCCATTCATCACACCACAGTACCATCTTTGTTCGACGCATGTGTTCCTCTCTCATTAGCAGAGCTTAACAGTCAGGGGCACGCAAGGTTCTCATCATTTGATGGTGGCTTGGAAGTCGGCGGTAGTACAATTCAAGAGGACGACGTTTTCGGCCAAGAACAATTGAAAAACGGACTCCCGACACGAAAAGCGTTTCCCTCTAATAATAATAATAATAATAATAATAATAATAATAATAATAATAATAATAATAATAATAACCTTTGCAAAGAGAATAGTCACTGTCCATTGGCCATTTTGATAAGTGAATAACTGAATTAGTTATTTGACGAGGTGCTTTGATTCACATTTTAAAGTTAGTTCAAAGTAAAACCTTGATAAAACCAAGGTCTGAATTAAGCAATGGCAGCTACATTATTTTCAAGGTGGAAATATGTATTGAAATTATGGACCCTCATTGTAACTAATGCCTGTTATAGGGCCTACCGAAGCTGTTTGGGGTGGAGAAGCTGTAACGGCAATTTAAGGCATAATTATTTGGATCATGTAATTAGGAAATTAACTCAAGTGGTATGACAGCATAAATGGGAATGTCAAGAAGGTCAAGATACCTTGCAGATAGATTTTTCATACATGGTTTAAATTAATAAATTAGTTTTTAGCGCAAAACGAAGTTTACTTATGAAGATAGAGCTGATCTTAAGAACTCATCCCATCAAGTCCATTGAGGAGACATTTAATTTGCTTTTGAACTTATGTTCATGTTAGATCAAAAATCGAAACCAATACGTTGCGAATTTAGTGGTACATGCATTCCAAATCAAAAATTCAAGTGAGTGTTTTGTCAATGAAAATAGCTAATATATGGATTTAACCACTAATACATGTATATATATGAATGTATATCGAAATAGAACGAGCCTCTCTATCTACAGTGTATTAACACGAAAATGTTTTTAGATAAATAAAGTTTATTTCGCAATAAGAATATGCCTGATGGAAATTGGCTGGAGATACGTATTACATTGCAACACGCATGCTCATTATAGCTAGCAGGATCGTTAAAAGAAAAGTTGAAAGGAGGACATAAGAAAACATAGCACATCAGGTGAACAGTACAGCGCCATTTAGGGAAAATACGAAAGCCCCGTTAAGCGTAATGAATTGTCCTTTAACAGAAATGAAAGAACGATCAAATGGATTCACTTATGAAAGGCTTCTCACGGAATAATAAAACCCCATGCGTTCGCCTTTTTTATTTGTTTTTCCTTACTAGTCTTAAAACAAAATAATAAAATACACACTCTTCATACAAAACACATTGTCTGGTCCATCCGTAACAAGTCGACCACAGTGATGGGAATAGTCCGAAAAACGTTGAGAAAGTATTGACCCAATCCCCGAAAGCACTTGGGCTATTCACCGCGGGGTTTCCCCGTGCAGGAGTTCTTGTACCGTGTCCGTCTTGTCACCGACTTCCCAGAGGTTGTTTAGATTAACAGTTTAGTAGTAACGTGGCTTCTTGTATCCGAATCCACGGGCGGCGGCTGGGCGGCCGGCGGCACCCATGGCACCACGGGCTCCCATGGCTCCCATCTCACCTGCAATGATAAAAGGTGTACATCGAAATAAATAATCATAATAACATTTATAATAATAGTAATAATAACAACAACTTCACTGAGTTTGCTTGTCAATATAAATGCTGGGCACATGAACCTTTTCCTAACTTCTAGTCGAAAACTTTAATTTCGAATTTCACATGGAATTATTTATAAAATGCCCGTGAAAAGTATGGCTGGGACTAATCCGGGAGGTCAGTTACTTAAAGATGAACTTATATCCAACAGCATTGTTAAGGTCGAGAACGAAGTCACAGTGCGGTGTATCTATTTTGTATAGACCAAAAACTAACCTTGAGCGCCTGGGGCACCGTCACGGCCTGGGGCACCTGGGGCACCAGTGGCACCGGTATCGCCTCTTGGTCCTTCAATAGAAAATAAAGTTATGTGAACATATCGTAATGTATATTTACCCGTTTACACAAGTCAGTTGCACACAATGAATATATGGCTGGCGTAAGAAAAAAACAGCTGGCGCATTTAATATTTTTAATGCAAACTTATTCTGCAAATAGCAATATTTCAAGACAAAATTCATCCTTTCCAAATTTGCCTCAAGTCAATTTTTATATATTTGTGCTGCTGAAGAGCTTACCTTGAGCACCTGGGGCGCCATCACGGCCTGGGGCACCTGGGGCACCAACGGCTCCGACTGGTCCGGCTGGTCCCTGCTTGCCTGGGGCACCTGGGGCGCCATCAAGACCGTCACGGCCTGGGGCACCAGTGGCACCACGTGGACCTTTACCGCCTGGAGCACCTGGGGCACCTGGGCGACCGTCAGCACCTGGGGCACCATCCTTGCCTGGGGCACCTGGGGCACCTACTGGTCCGACTGGACCGCGAGCACCTGGGGCACCGACGGCACCTGGAGCGCCTTGTGGTCCTGGGCGACCCTGTGGACCGGCTGGACCTGCTGGACCTCTCTTGCCTGGGGCACCTGCGAGTCCGTCTCTGCCTGGAGCGCCAGAAGCACCACGAGCACCCTTAGCACCTGGGGCACCATTGCGACCTGGGGCACCAGTAGCGCCCTTAGCGCCTGGGGCACCATTGCGACCTGGGGCACCAGCTGGACCATCCTTGCCTGGAGCACCATTGCGGCCTGGAGCACCGACTGGGCCGACTGGACCAACTGGACCAGCTGGACCACGGGCGCCATTACGGCCTGGGGCACCGTCTTTTCCTGGAGCGCCATTGAGACCATCCTTGCCTGGAGCACCGTTGAAACCATCACGGCCTGGGGCACCAGCGGCACCCTTAGCACCCTGTGGGCCAACTGGACCTGGGGCACCAACTCTGCCTGGGGCACCATTTCTGCCAGCAGCACCATCTTTGCCTGGGGCACCGTTAAGACCATCAGCGCCTTTGCGTCCTGGAGCACCTGGGGCGCCATTTCTGCCAGCGGCACCATCTTTGCCTGGGGCACCTGGGGCGCCGGTAAAACCAACTGGACCAACTGGGCCTCTTGGACCACGAGCGCCTGGGGCACCGTTAAGACCATCCTTGCCTGGGGCACCATTACGACCTGGAGCACCGACGGGTCCGACGGGTCCAACTGGACCTGGGGCACCCTTGGCACCTGGTCTACCGGAAGCACCTGGACGACCAGCCAAACCATCTTTACCTGGGCGACCGGCTGGACCAGCTGGACCACGAGCACCTGGGCGACCAGCGGCACCTGGGCGACCATCAAGACCTGGCAGACCGTTGGCGCCGTCCTTGCCCTTAGCACCTGGGCGACCTGGAGCACCTGGGGCACCGGTAGCACCTCTAGCTCCCTTGGCACCTGGAGCGCCGTTAAAACCATCGCGACCTGGGGCACCTGGAGCACCGTTAAGTCCATCCTTGCCTTTAGCGCCTGGGGCACCATCAAAACCTCGAGCACCGTTGAGACCATCCTTTCCTGGGCGACCTGGAGCACCTGTTGCACCGGTGGCACCTCTGGCGCCCTTGGGACCTGGAGCACCGTCAAGACCGTTACGGCCTGGAGCACCGTTGCGACCATCCTTTCCTGGGGCACCAACTGGACCGACTGGACCGCGTGCACCTGGGGCACCGTTAAGACCGGCAGCACCTGGAGCACCAGTGTTACCACGTGGACCCTTAGCGCCTGGGGCACCTGGAGCACCATCAAGACCGTTGCGACCTGGGGCACCATCCTTTCCTGGAAGACCTGGAGCACCTGCAAGACCTGGAGCACCTGGACGGCCGACTGGACCGACTGGACCACGAGCACCTGGACGTCCGGCAGCACCTGGGCGACCATCGTTGCCTGGAGCACCTGTGGCACCAGTGGCGCCACGGGCACCCTTGGCTCCTGGAGCACCTGGAGCGCCTGGGCGACCTACAAGAAATGGAAACTTATTTCAAAACCGTGTGAAAAGATGAAGTCCTGTTTTTGTTGAAAAAACATAAAGGATAGCTATGTACAATTAACTCTTTGGGACGGTTATTTTCAACTTCCTACTTTTAAGGCTTTGTTTTTTTCGGATATCATTTGGACGAAGCTTACAGCGATTACACTGAACACAATAATCGGAAATGCAATTTTCATTGTTACAGCTTAACGTAGGCAATAATCGTGACTGTAACTCACCGTCAGCACCTGGGCGGCCAGCGGGACCTGGCTTGCCGTCAGCACCTGGAGCACCTGGGAAGCCACTAGCACCACGGGCACCCTTCAGACCTATAGAGGTATAATTAGTAAGTTATTATTTTCATTCCAAATAAGTTTTCATGAATAATAATTTGTACCAACATATCACATGCCATGCTTTGAATATTATGCAGTGATGTTTAGTTTTAATTTAGTTTTAAATTAACGTGGGTCCACGCTGCACACACTATTTAGTTGACGGCTTTACCTGGAGCGCCTGGGGCACCTGGACGACCATCAGCACCTGGAACGCCGACACCTGGGGCTCCGGCTGGACCCTGTGGTCCTGGGGCACCAGCTGGGCCTGGGACGCCGACGCACTTGCCTGGGCAGGCTGGGTTGCCAGCCTCATCTGAAAGTTTAGACGGGAATGGAATTTAGTTGTTTTCTATGTACAGAAATACCTTATGTTACCGAAGAGAACATTTTTTATTTGTACGGACAAGGTTTTGTGAAGACGAAGTAGCCTGACAAAGAATGACGTGAAAACGGAAAAGTTATCCCATTATGTCTTTACAATTTGTGTTCACCACATAATTGGATGTGGATTTCATAATTCTGACATCGTCTAACGGGTACTTAAAAGCGATGTAAAAAGACACTGCTTTCAAAAATGATACCATAATTTAAATTTTGATATTAGGGCTCGTCACCAGTAGTATTTTACCTCAGCAACATCCAGGGTGCGTTTCTTTGTATCAGAATGTCCTTGTGTAGCATTATTAAGTTGTGCTCACCAAGATTCTTTTTTTGTTAAAATTTATTCCACTTACCCAAGTGACAGATGATACCAGTAAGTCCTCTCAAACAGCTACATCTAAATCTATCTCCACCCAGACTGGTACAAACTCCGTTGTTTAAACATGGGTTTGGAGTACATGCGTCTGGAACGTAATAAGACTGATAGATCAGTGTGCATCTCGCATATATGGACTCATTTTATAGAAACTTATTGAATACTTGAAAACAACCAGCTTTTAAAACATGTACGTTTGAAACTGAAGACGTTTACGCCGAGGGAAATTCAAATTCTACTAGAAAAAAGTTGTATCCCGCTAACTCCCATTAGAAAAAAAATCTCAAGTCAAGGGTTTGAAAATCCATAAATAGTACGGTACGTTTCTTCTTAGTTAAAGTACAGAAACTGGAGAAACATTTAAGTCTAAATAATGTAGTCGTTTTGATTGCCTACCTCCGGCATATCCATAACCTGGAACGAAAAAAATTCCTTTGCAATTAATTCCACGTTTATTTGTTACAACACATTTTCAATTGATTGTATATGAAATGCTGAAGATAACTTTGTCGTGTCTAAGCTATGAAAAGTGATAATAATAATAATAATAATAATAATAATAATAATAATAATAATAAAGAAGTAAAATACTTACGGATGGAGGTGGCCTGTGTGGCAACGACCACCACAGCCAAAAGTGCCAAACGGGTCCACATGTTCTTGCTGTAAAAAAATTGTGGTTGAGCTTAGTATTCGTTGTACAAATAGCCATTTTCTGTTTCACAATAAGCGCGAAGATATTTTTCTGATAATCCATTTAAAGCCACAACCTGGCGGCTGTATTTTATATGCATCATGCAGACGGGTAGTTAAAGTGTAGAAAAGAAGGAATCATTCGTAAATTATGTTCGTTTCAGTGCTGCTAGAGACACAGAGTCTAACCACAAGACGAAACTAATGGTTATAAAATGAAGTAAATAATTTTTGCGTACGTTTTACTTTCAGCATTAAGTCTTTTATAAGAAAAGATCTGTTGTGTTGCCTAAAATTAACTAATAATTGTATTATCCATATAACATGGTTAAAAATCATGGTTACACATAATGGTTACACCACTGAAATGTTTAGTGCATGTCCAAAGGAAATGATATCCAGTTTTGCCTTTCGGCTTCAATTATTTGCAGGATTGTGGTCAGTAACAAACTTGTTCTTTTAAATGTTACGATTGTCAGGTATAAAGGCTTATATTGTGCTACCTATTTGCCACGCGTCTGACTTCCAGAATATTTCCCGTTAGCACGCAAAGCATGAATTATTTGTGGTCACGTCATCTAAAAGATCGCCTCTAGGGCCATCTATAATCAATGACATTACGTCATAACTTTTTTCACCAAAAGATATTTTTTTAAACAACTGAAAATGTTAGCCGAGAAAAAGGTTCCGAAACATGCGCCTACGGTCGTCAAGGTTTATTGTAATGACTAATTCAATACAATAAGAAAAAAATGCCAGGAATACCATCTTCACTGTTTAAATAAAGTAATTGTGAAATCCTTAAAAATATCTAACCTTTGCAAAGACTAGCGGCATAAAGTACTAAATGAAGGGGTCACGATATTTCGTCCATTAGTCACGAAGTTGTACAAACATTTGACTTCAAATAAATTAAGTTAAGAGAAACCGCACGCAAACAGACCTGTTGACTCCAATCATTTCGAACAGTGGCCAATTGTTTCAGTGAAAATTAATCGCCATTAAACCAGGCCAATCAGAGGTTGAAATTTTAATGGTTAGAAAACGAGTTTGACGACACTGTCAATAAATTGCTATGGAACAATATCGCTACTGTCTTCTTGCGTAAGGGTCGAGTTTCTGCAGCGAGATAACTGATAACGCATTCTGAATTATTCTTAATCAATTTTTATAGGCGTAAAAGTATTTGACCTCACGTATATTTAATAGGGCCGTGGTCGCTAATGTTTTTGGTCGCGCCATTCTTAAAACATCCCCTTCTTGCTAAGGAGATTCAGACCAATCTTACCTTACTAATGCTCTTAATATGCCTTTAAATTTAGGTCGACTAGCTTTTTTGTTAAAGGGTTGAATGTAGAAAAAAACACGAAATCTTCACAAAATTAATCTAAAACGTATTTATAACCGATGACTTAAAAAAAGCTTTTTAAAAACTATATTCCAGTTTTCACATAACGAAGTATTAGAGTGAGAGTTAACTGATACTTGAATGCCAAAATTTTAAAGGCTTGTCGCTTTCGAATATTTTTCATTAGAGACGCAGTTGCGCATACTTAATCGGACTGCACACATTTTCTCTATACTTTCATCGAACATTTAAGCATAATATTATACAGCGCGTAACACAAAACTTGCTGTTTGCCAGGCAATTTTGAAACAATAAATATATAAGATGTCAGCGACTTAAAAGAAAAAAAAAATGACTCCGAATCGCTTAAAACCCTTTTTTTCTTTCGACTAAATCGGACATTCTAAAAGTTGCGCTGTTCTAAAGTATGCAAACAAATTCTAAAACAAAATTCAGCTTCATCAATTCATCCATGTCATACGGACGCACCCACCACCTGCATCGCATCCTGTGCATTGACGACCCTGCGCCAGCGAACGCTGTACAATGCATGTAAAGCGACAGTCACACCTGAAATTCGCCCTTACCTTTTGTGTCCTGTAGGAAAAGCAAGTGCCGTTTCTCTCATACTTCGGTTGGAGCCGTCTGTTTATATACGCTCACTATCATGACGAAATTTAATGAACCTATGTGTCTGTTTGCTAGAGAAAAGAGGTCTATTGTATTGCGGAATGCGCTGATAGGTGGAAAGTACTAAACATAAAGGGACCCTGCATTTGAATAATGCGTTTTTATCGCCCTGTGTCGCCAATTCATTTACCCGACATTGATGAAGCATGGATCCCCTCTCATGCCAATTTAATTTTGTATCTCATGTAAGGCGACAGTGGCCCGAAAAGGCATAATGCAAATGCTGATCGACTGGGGAGGCAAGCCAGAAAGGGTCCTTTGCGTGATTCAACCTATATAGGAAGAGAGGTATTAGTATAGAAGAACAGCCCAATAAGGCCCTTTGATTGTCGCATATCAAAACAATACCATTAATATCATACGCATCTCATCAATATGCAAACCAACGGGTACATTATGGTCCAGAGTAAGTATAATAGAAACGACCGCTTACGTCCCTTGAAAGTCCGGTAAAGCATTCCATTCTAGGGGTTGAATAGTGGGTCAAGTGTTGTGTAATCTTTTTAAAAGGTGACTTAATGTGTTTTGTATTGCACTGCATGGGAATCTGTGTCTTTTTTTCGTGATTTGTGGCTAGCGTTATAACTTCGGGTGGTTTGTGTTGACTGCAACCGGTGTGCTGGAGATCAAAATGGCGTGGATTGTTAGCAGCAAAATATTCAGTGCTTTGGGAGAGGTACGGTGAAATTTCATGGCAAGTTTAAACAAAACCTTTCGTTACACACAACCCTCTGCCACAACATGTTAAAAATAGTAAGCAAATCTTCAATAAATTATGATGACTCTAAAGACTGCTTGTCTTTGTAGAAACAAAAAGAGATATGGGGTTATGTTCAGTGGCTCGATCGATCCTTATTTATACATTTGAAGTTCAGGCTCACGTTGTTAAAGAGGATAACTGTATATTGAATTTTTGGAATGACTAAATGATCGAATGTGTTCTGAAAAGAAAGGAAAATTACAAAAAATCATACTGTACTGTACTGTACTGTACTGTAAATTAATTTGTGGAAAAGGTGATGTACAGTAAATCTATAGAGTTAAAAACGACTTAATATTCAAACATACGCGTTAGATGAAAAATAATAATAAAAGATACAGACATAAAGACCGACGCTTAGTAGTGTCGTTTGCCATGGTTTCTCATGAACAATAGTTTATTAGGAAGTACGTGCATGTGATCCCGTGTTCAAACGACTTCCTGTTGACATGCACGTAATAAGATTTCTTATTTTTACTTGCACATTTACTTCATTTTTTTAAAGAGCTACACTCGACATTGTTGAGAAAAAAACACATTTTTACACGCGCGATGTTATTCAGGCCCAAGTGGAATTTGTTTGCATGCGACTTGTTCAATCTCAGCATAAGTACAAACCTCATAATCTACACACCGATTTTCTTTGCGACGTGACAATTTATTACAGCTAAGGTACATGTTACCTTTCTGCAACGGACCAATTCATTACAAGAATAAACAATGCAACGAAAGGCTCTCGTTTTAGGCCGAGAAGAAAGAGAACCTCTAAAGTGAACACTTTTCAGTAACTAAGAACTCAACATCGCAGAAACAAGAAGAGATGCTGTTAGAGACAAGGTTTCTTTGATATGGAACGGCGATGAACTTCAGCTGACCGTGTAAATGAGATTGATCCCCTGGGGGTGTCGCCTGTCACAGGTTTCCACACATGATGTCCTTGTCCAGGTAAGGTCATAAACCCGTCCAGTGCTCATCATCAAAGATATTAAAACATATATTTCACACGAACATGCTCCATTAGCCTGGTGATGCGAGGACAACAATTAACAGAAACATTTCAAGACACCTGGCGTACGCAGAATTTATGTAGATTGTAGCTTGGATGTAAAATGTGCATTAATTGAACTGAGAAGAAGAAGATTTTGCTTCGTGCTGCCGTGTAATTCGATAGTTGTGTAATCATGCAGAACCGGTTACGTTACGCAAACGAGTTTCTCTATATTTGTTAAGGACCGTATCCTTAGGCAAGTACTTAAAATTCCTATGCCGAATGCTCTTCGTAGTTTAATTTTTATTTTTATTTTCAGTACAAATGAGCCGTAGGACACTTAAATAGACCAAGCACTGGTCATAAGCATTAACCATTTTTTCGTGTTATAAAAAAACGCAAAGCATTTCACTGGGTTGGACATCCACTAATTCATCTTAGGTCAGAGGTGACTAAAAGGTAGTCATAAAGTTTAGACCAAGTCTAGGTTTTAACTGGTTTTGTAAAACATGCCCCTGCTCTCATAGAGGTCGACTTGCATATCGCATTCAATCATGGCAATTTTAATAACATTAAATAATATTTTGTACTCTGATCTGATATTAGACCATTTAAAAAGATGCTGCGTATTTTAAAGGACTTGTGTTAATCATGTATTGTTTGTGTTAGGATTTTGATTTAATACCACCCAACCCACCAACCCACCCTCGTCCTTATAACCGCCTTAAAACTTGAACTGACGTGTACTCGTACCTGTAGCTCCCTGCGGGGGACGTGACATGGCCCCTCAGTCCTATGCAATAATAGCCAACGCATTTACCTGGTGATGATGGGTAAATGGGATTTAAACAGCACAGAGTGGTTTAAAATGAACTAGCAACAAATAACGCACGTTGAATCATCAGACGATTTCCCTATAATATTTCTTACAGAACGCGCTGTCAACCACAAAAGCGCATAATTTCCTTATCATTTTTTTAATGTGTGATAGATCCTGCAAAAGACAAAAAAATATATACTATACAAAAACATACTTTCAGGAAGATTGGATAGACGAACATACTTACTACAGTACGTCATATCGATGGGGTTAATCCGAGTTACCCCCTAAGTTTGGCGACTCAACGTGAAATCAAGCGAGATGTCGCAGGATTTGGAGGAGAATCGTGTCAGAACTAATGACTAATACGGCAAAGAATCAAGGCTGACAGAACTTATCCATTAATTTTTTTCTTGGTATTTGCTCTCAAGTTCTGTCAAATTGCATTTTTGTCAGAAAGCTACGTATGTTGCATGTTATTTTCATATTGCTTTATGAGACGACACCCCCAGCGAATACAGTGCCACCCTCGTTGCTTAAAGGTCAGCCCCACCTCACGTGGATTCTCGTGCTTTTTCCACTATGTATTGAAACGCAAAAGTACGTGTCTGGGCAAAAGCAGCGGTCATTTAATAAAGATTCCACATAATTTCACATATTTGTCTCAAACTAATGGAGCTGTTATAAAGAAACTGTCATCATAGGAAACCACAGAAGTGGGAGTCGTGTACATAATCACTATCAACGTACAGAAAGACATTTGCTCGCACATAAAACTAAAATCCATTTCACTGCACTTAAAGGGGGTAATATCCATTTAATACACAATTGCTCTATATAAGATAGCATAATAGCACCATATAAAAGATAAGTAAATTTTTCTATTGAAGAAGGATACCACATATTGTATACTAAATATACTACAGTAGTGCCAGTCATGTTAACTGGTAGACAATACAATACAATGGAGGCGTGCCACAACAGATTCATCAACTGACCGTCAGTAAAATAAACAATTAAACCAGTCCCAGAGACAATGCTTCAACTATAACACAATTAATAATATCGGTACACATGCTATGTATTTAAAACGGATTATCGCGTGCATCCAACCTTAAAAGAGCTGAAGTTTTGGAGCCGCATTGTAATCCTGGTATGATGGTGGTTGCAGTCGACATCAAAGGCATATTAGGGAGCATCAAATTGAAAACGATGAATTTACAAGCGCAGACTTTGTGTCCCAATGTGTGATACTGTTTTCCATTGTTAAAAGAATGTAAACGTAGTGAAATGGGGAAAGCGGCGGGTTTCGTGTAGGGAGATTTGGGGGCGGGGGTGCGGAGGAATTTTTTTGGGAGGGGTTTATACTGTATTTATTGGCCGAGTTCCTGTAATTAGCACATTTTACTATTTGGAGTTAGCATTTTGTGCAGCCACTACCTTTGTTCATTATTATTTTCACCCCGTCAAAATGCTGCCAGTGCATTTCTTGCTTGAAGATTGTTATTAGCCTTGCATGATAATAACTGCAATAAAAAGGAATGCCTGTATATCTGAAGTTTTTTTTTCTTGTTTTGCCATTATAAGTGAAGGGAGTCGGGAGTCGTGTCAGATTTGAATTAAGAAACCGGTATATATTCATAGTAATCACCGTGTTGATCTTGTTTAAGAAATAAATAAAATAGGGACCATTCCCACAGATAGTTGGATCGATCTTTCTCCATGGGGAGTCTCACTAAATTGCTATCAAACTAACCGGCTTAAACGTCTGTCACGCCTAGTAAAACGGTTAGGGGGTAATTATCTTTACCCCTAGCTAATTCGGTAGGCGCGACAGACATTTAAGCCTCTTGAGCTGCTAGCGTGAACCCCCAGGGAGTTAGGTCGATCCACATGGATCGATCTAAGTATGGGAACCCAGTCATAGATTGAAGACGCTTCTGTAAAGATCAATTATAATTGATAAACTGTATAAAGCGCTTGATACCAATTATAGTTAATCTTAAAAGTTTCTGTGTCAATCAGTTTTATATTATGAAAAAATTATAAAAAAAACTCTACGCTGAATCCTCGGTTACAGCTCTTGTTCCACTGTCGTGAAATGTTGTTTTCTGTGGCAAACTGGATTAAGGCCTAGAGGAATTCCCACCCTGAGCATCGGTGCCTACTGGAATCCTCGACTGTCAGCAGCTTCTTATCGGTCTAACATTCACTGTCGGCATCCCAAAACTGGGGGTGATGAGGGGTGCATACTGGGTACATGGGAGTCGTTGTCGGCAACCTGAAACTCAGGGTGATGAAGGGAACATGCCGGGTAGATAGGAGTCTCTGTCGGCAACCTGAAACTCAGGGTGATGAAGGGAACATGCCGGGTAGATAGGAGTCTCTGTCGGCAACCTGAAACTCAGGGTGATGAAGGGAACATGCCGG